TTGCCCTATCCGAAATGTCAATATCCGTCCCTGCTGTACTTCTGCGGAAACGCAAATCGCATGAAAGCCTTACGGGCTCTCTTTCCCTACAATAACATCACACGTAAAGGCCCCGCAGGATTAGTCCGTCTCCATCTCAGCACCACGACCGCTCATACACAGAATCCCATATTATTTGCCGAAAGCAGTCTTGGCCTTGAACGAAGCATGGGCGACTCAAAATGGCTCAAGCATTCAATGACAAAACATCGAGCCTTCTCGGTGGTGGCTGCCAAAGCTACGATGTTGCCTGCAAAGCTACAGCAAGAAGTCAAGAGACACTTTGTATTGCCATGGAGCCAAATTCTGTGTTTATTTCTCGATTCCATGTCAGACGTGCAAGCTGCAAAAGAATTGTTACAGCAACCATGTCAACAGCTGACCATTGGTGGCGAAGCGATTCCTTCTCACACGCAGATAGCCATTGTTATGACCAACAGTCAAAAAGCAACAAAAGCTTTCACCCAAGAATGCGCACAGCTTCAAAGGCTGACTGAGACTAGAACAATCACGATTCTCGATCTGGGTCCACGAAGCGGACTCTCAGATATCACGGCGTTCGAGCCACTGCAAGCCTGGATCCTGAAACAGCTTAATACAGTTCAAGCGGAGCAAGTGTCAGCTCACCAAAAGTTCTCAGCATCTCATCTCGGTACTTTCTGCAGCAGCCGCTTGCAAAGTCACGAATGGACCTTGGACGCAGCGCCATGCGATCTTTTAGCAACAGCCCGAAGGGACTTGACGAGGAGTGAAACGATGGGCGATTATCTGCAAGAAATAACGCGGAATGCAATATCCACCGGTTGTTCAAAGAGAGATTTCGAACATCTGATAGCGTCGGCTTTCCTGATGGAGGCTTATCCTCCGGGAATGCATCGTACGTCCACTTTCTCTAACTTGGTTCTTTTGCTAATTTTGCTAGAATTCTCTCCGACTGTGATGTTCAAGGCATTGTACGAGAAGCTGTGCCGTCGCATCTGGGACGGGGACTTGTACCACCATGTTGGTGGCTTGCTATACTGTTTCGTCCAGTGTTTTGAGCAGCTGAGCCCTCCCAAGGCATCGGCATTGATCCGAAAAGAGACCTTGCACCGTATATACCGCCAATGGGGCGGACTCCGCTCTACCACGACTTGTTTTGTCTGTCTATGCCGCCCTCCAGAGCACATGCTCCCTTGCAAACATACACTGTGTGACACGTGTGTCGTGATTTTCGGGCATCCAAGTGTGCTTGGAGAGTATCACTTCGAGATTGCACAATGCCCCATCTGCGATGAAAGGTCCCATGTCACGATACGCCAGCTACCTCCGACGAAGCACCCGGTGATTCTCAGTCTCGATGGCGGAGGTGTACGCGGCCTTATTCAATTAGGGCTATTACAGGCGTTAGAGAAGCGCATTGGGGTTTCAATCACGTCTCTGCCAGATCTGTGTATGGGAACGAGTGTGGGTACGTACAACTAATGGCATCGTTCATCATGTGTTTGGATAGACTGACCAGCCTCTGTAGGAGCATTGTCAGCGATTGATCTTTTTCTCAATCAATCCTCGGTTACGCAGTGTTTCCACGCATTCCCGGACCTGGCGCGAAACATTTTTCGTCGTTCATCGAAATTCCCGATTCCCCGTGGTATCCGGTGGCTTGCCTCGGCGTTCAACTTGACCACACATAGTTTGTATGATTCCGATGGGCTGTCAGAAATCATCAACACGGCAGTTGGCCCGTCTCGTCGCATGTTCGATGTTGCCACGGCCAGCCCTGCAGGTTGCCGGGTCGCTGTTGTAGCAAGTCGCACCTCCGATGGCAAAGCCTGCGTATTGGCCAATTATCGAGGAATCGGCCCGCGCACTATTGATACCGCCTATCAGTTCTTGGCGCCACGTGACGACCGCGAGAATCCTCTTGTACGGGACGCGTAGGTCCACTCGGTATTTTCCCAGCCTGAACCGGCCCTGTTGCTAACGCTTTTCTGGCAGTGCAATATGTAGCGTTGCGGCACCCTTGTGAGTACATTACTGACGTATATGGAAGCTCGCTGACACTGTCCAGTTATTTCCAGACCAAGACTTTGCCGGGCCTGGGGCTCTTGCAAGATGGGGGGGTTCGTGCGAACAATCCGCTCGCCATTGCGCTGCGAGAGTCGGGCATCATCTGGCCCATGGCAAATCGACCCGACCTTGTCCTTTCTGTCGGAACAGGCTTCTCCACACCTCCCTCTGGTGATGCAACGGAGTTTCTGAGTCGAATCTGGGAAGGTGCTCTTCCTCGATTGTTTCGGGCCATGATGTCGTCCCCATCCATGGACGGCAAGCAAGGCTTCTTGGAAGCCCTGAATTATGTCCCGCATCCGTTGGCCCCCAACATTTTCCGACTAGATCAGGCAATCAACGGAACACTCCCTGCATTAGACGATGTGCGCTCGTTGGAATCGATGTCGACCATGGATTTTGTAATACCAGATGGGCTTGTCAGAACGATTCTCGCTTCGGCCTTGTTTTTCTTCGAGTTAGACGAGACGCCTACTCCGCACAATGCGTCCTTTCAATGTCGAGGATCTATTCTCTGTTCGCGTCCACATCCTGCCGAGATCGTGCAGCGTATTCTTGTCGAGTTCCCCGGCGCAAGGTTTCAGTCCAGTCCGGACCATAATTTAGGAAGCATAGACCCAGTTGACATGTGTCAATTTTGTGGATACTTCAGAAAGCGCATTACTTTTCGCGTCGCCAGCCTTGAAGAGAGAGTCTCTATCGAAATTGCCAACGATACCTTTCGCGAAAGAATTGGTGGTTTCCCTAAGTCGACGCAAGAATTTCTCGACGAGCAAAAGGCCTACGCTCAGTTCGGTCGCACAGATCATCAAACTTTGGAATGGCCACGGCGGAGATCTTGTTACTGCCATCGTGGATCGAAGCGACTCGTCCACTTTCTAGAACCCACTTTGACGCAGAAAAGACGACGGTTATGAGCTGGGTGTAGCTGTAGTTCCGGACGGGGTTAGATAATCAATGTAAACAAAAATTTATGTCTCGGCGGGGTATCCGATGAAATGCAAGACGGGTGGAGAATAGGTCTGCTCTGGTTTTGAACAACAGGAATAATTAAATAGGTAGTCTGCATTCGAACAAGACTTCATCACCTCACTCACTGGTTTTTACCTACGCATGATTACAACCGTTTATAAGTGTTGGAAAGCGCGATTAAGGGCGTCAAAGAATACCAGACTGTGGGAAGTCATTCGACAACAAAGAATATGCGCCGTCTCCAATCTAGAGTCTGTTGGGATTGCGGTAAGGATGACCCCGAAAATTGGGTCAATCATGAGCAAACTAGCTTGGCAGTGTGCTGGTGCTAATCTTCGACTCAGGAATCGACCGTCAACGGTGGTGATAATGTGATGAAAGCCGTTCACAAACTGTTCAGCACAACTACTGCCGTTGCGCATGGACTGAATTTGCCTTCTTATAGACCTGCCCCGAGCCCAACTTCAGTTTCATTGAGGCATATTCAGTATGAACCTTTTTCGAAAGCAAAGTCCCCGTCACCCTAGTGACAATACTTCCAGTATCTATAGTCGATCCACCGACACGGCTAAAGATGTGCCTATGACTTGTATACCAACTACCATACAAATCAAGCCATCTCTCCCTGAGATCAATCTGCTAGACCACCAAATCTCGATGGCTTGCGGATCTACCATGGCCTTGGAAACCACCCGCCCGCGACTGAGAAAATCCAAAACACAACTCGAGATGTCGATTGCAGAGTTGAAGGCCGAACGACTGCAGCAGCATAGGCAACAAGGGCTTGAGAATGATTTTTATTGCAAGTGTTTTGAGAGCTTCCACAAACTTGTCAGCACCACAATGGACGCAACACAGAGTCTGGCTCTGCAGTACCATTTCAACCCTGCAAATAGTCCTTCAAGGGATCCACGATTGATTCGAGCTATCGTTTCCTTGAGAGTGGCTCTTGACAAATCACAGGCCGAGGAAACAAACGCAGAACGGGAATGGAAGCGGCAGTGGAAGGACTCTTCTGCTAGGCAGTCGTCACTCCAATGGCTTTAAATGTTGAGATATTTTGTGTACCTGTAGCATCTATATAGATAATATCCAGTTGGAAGTAAGAAATTCAAAGACGAAGTTTCTGAGATAAGACCAAGAGAATCTTCAGGGCATCGAGAATTTACTTGATATCTTACCTCATCAACCACAGCAGAGATACGTGCAGTTGTCCATGCGATTGTCTCCGTAGGAATTTACCGACCCCTAAGAGTTTTTGAATTCGGCGCGTAAAAACTGTTCCACGTTAAAGACGAAGTCATCTTCAACACCTTGGAGGACTTGGATCACAGCTTCTGGAAGCAAGGCCAACCGTCGACCCAGATGATGTGGGCGGGCTTCACACAGAGAGATTTGGAGGGTGGCTTTCTGCCTTAGCTGAGCTGTCCGCTGGTCGAACTCCGAAAGTCCGGTCTTCACGAACACTTGAAGTCGACAAAGACTTTTAGAGTCTTCCAGGCCAACAGTGCATTGCGAAAAGTTGATGGCAACGCGAATTAGCTCCAGTAGTGATTTTCGATGCTGTGAAATGCGATGAACAGCCGCGTGGCGGATACTAGTGATCACGCCACGCCATCCGATCAACGCACTTAGAGTTGACTGATAAAATTCGTCCTTGACTTTTTCTCGATGAGCTTGTAAAAAACGGAAGACTTTGTGTAACTCCAAGGCTTGCGGGCATGTCCATCCGACCGCAAGCGATTCTGCTAACAGCCATTTCTGAATGAAGCAGAAAGCACAAACTTCAAGTTGTTGTTGCATGACCTGCAAGATCTGGTGCTGGGCGCGAAAGGGAATGTATTCAGCGGAAAATCCGGGTAATGAACCTATGCCTTTGATCATCCCTGTCCAACATTGTTAGTTTATAGCATCTGAAGTGTCAGTCTTGGAGTATCCGACTTACCCTCATATTGCAAAATGTTCTGGGGCATAGCCAATTAGAGCTTCTATCAAGTCCAGCCCTTGAAAGTAAAATGGCGTTAAAATCCACGAATCTACGTGTAGCCTGCAGGTGAGAGATACTGCCGAAGGGATATATACATGGAGGAACACGAGCAACCAGTCGAATAGACTTTCAGAGTCGGGGTGACCTTCTCAGCTGTATTGGACATATCTCATTTTTTACTCGCATCAGGTTCCTGCGACTGTTCAACTCTAGGTGGAAACTTAACAGCGGTTCCATAGCGGTCTGTCGCTCTTTCATGCTGTAACGCCATCTTGCTTGTTTTCTTAGATTAGCCTACAGCACGGCTTATATAGCAATCGACTTTTCCTGTATTTGCTATGCAACACCCGAGAACTTGACGAATCAAAAAATGATCGCGCTAGTAATCTTAAGCTTGAGCGTCTTGATCGTCGCGATTCCAGTGGTATGACCCTTCCTATACAGTGCAATTTTGCGAAATGCTGAGTCTTGACAGGCTTCCAGGCCTCTCAGGGCGATCATGTTCAACACAGCAATGGTCAGTAATACTCTTTTGGTAGTATTGTATCGCGAGGATTTGCCCTGATAATTCTGTCGATGCAGACGCCTCTCCCACTACCAGCACAAAGCGCGAGACGCAACCACGTCCTGTCCAGTGGACTGATCGGTAACGATTGCACCCATCTCCAAAATATCGACTCACGTATGACATCCCACATTTCTCTTGATCCAAGCGCGAAGCACGGTCGACTCCACCGACATCGCCGCAGGCAGGTGGCACGTAGGTAGGAGCGCATACGGATTATGATTCTTCCGGGCTGGGATCGTCACTTTGCCCGAGCGTCGGAATTTTACTAGTGCGCCCGAGGAATTCAGCATCCCCGCCTGTTGAACAAAAATGAGGGCGTCCCGTGTCATAACACACGGTAAAACAGCGGTATGAGGTGCAGGACTATTTAGGTGCTCCAACACTGCCGTATGATTGTCAAGCTATCGATAGCCTGACAAGGCTCTGAATCTGTATCCAATCCGCAGCTACAGTATAGTAACTAGACTGCAATTATACGTACTCAATTGGCTTTGTTCGTAGTCGTCAGCATCGTCACGACCGCGTTCCAACATAGCTAGCGATAGCTTTTTAGTAAGTTACATATACCGTCAGGAGGTTAGTAGTGTTGGTCTTTGAGGTTCATCATACAGGGGCGGTGAGAGACGGAGGATTGCACCCGTCCCCGTTTAATACTATACCCGCAGACTAGATGTACAGCAAATAGCAGAGTGCTAAGCAATGAAGCAAAAGGGCCGAAAATAGCAAAGTGTCATTTTATTTAGCGGAGCTCCGTGGGTCTGATGGCTATGCCTGTTCTGCTATTTCCCGGAATGAGCCATGATCCCCTTTGTGACCCTCCTCAATAAAGTATGGATATAACTACGAGACCATGCGAGAATTATACTCCAAGTGCTGCGCCAGAGCTTTCCATCTTTTGTTTTCACGTATTGGTGCACATAGGACAGGGAGGTCTTTGCCGGCCGACTGATCAATGGTGGAACTGTAATCGCGAGGTGTCCGAACGACAGCCGGCTTGGAGCGTGTGTTCTTTCACCAATCAGCGGTCAAATACTAAATCCTCATGTGATTATCATCTTACCATATCTTCCTTAGAAGGTGGAAGAACATCGGGATGAGAGTGATACGTGAAGATCTGGCCATCAGGCAGTTCCATGATGAGCCAGCTTTTCATTCCATACAGAAGCCAAAATTCGTTATGGCGCCTTAAAAGATTGTTGCGGCGCTTGCGAAGTTGCTCTCGCTTGACTCGACTGAGGGTATGCGTCATTTCTAGACCAATTTGCTGTAATCAAGTAGTCACCCGCCGGCTACCGCATTGATTTATGTCGGAGATCTGGTATGGCCGAATTGCCAGAGCCAGCTTCTTCAACGATCAACATTGCATCTCTGGGGGTTTTCAACAATCTTCAACTGTACCGACTTAAAGTGCGGTAAAAGTATTAAAAGATGAGGCTGGAACTTGACGCGCCAAGATGCGAAAGCTCTTCGCCAAATGAGACACAATAGTGGTATTTCATGAGTCCTTTCGTTTACCGCAGTTCCTGAATTGAATCAAAAGCTTACTATAGACCTGATACTAGCCTGTTCAACAAATTATGGCGTGGAAACGACCTCATCTGACTAAACGGGCTTTGAGGATGGCAATGAAAATTTGAGAATGAAGATGCAGACAATTAATGTGGCCAAGTTCAATTTGAGCATTCGTCCACGATGTGAGTTCACGTTTAAGCTTTTTTAATGAGTCCGGATCATGGAGAGCTGTGCCATCCCAGTGGATGAGCTATTTTAGATGTACAGATGGTTGGCATGGAGACCTTTGATAGTGATTAAAAAGAAGCTCGGAACTTTGCAAAAGTCCTCAAAGATGGGAAATTATTACCCGGAGATGATTCACGAAATTGAAACATCGTGTTGTGGTGGCATACTCAGAGACTAATTAAGATTAATACTCCCGTGCATAAATCGAGTTACATCCAATAAACACGCTCGAATCCAACTTTGACAATCCGCGACAGTGTGGAAGATCCGATATATGTGCCGACCGGATCATGGCTTCCGAGAATAGATTGGTCAGACACAGTTACGACAGCATTTTACAAGCAACAGAGCTACCAGAAAAGCGAAATCAACTCTCCGATGAATATTACATCAGGTGCATGATCCTGTTATTCTTATTCTTTCAACAAAGCACCCAAGAAGATCTAACAGCTTTCTTCACGAATCGGGCTGAGAGTTTGGAGAATAAACTGACAGCCAACCTGCCCAAAACTCAGAATTCGTCCGCGAAGCCTCGACTCGCTCCGAAAACCCTGATATCGGGTTTTAGCACCCCAAAGCAGCTTGGAAACTATGTGCAGCGAAGGATGGGACATGAAACACAGACGCTGAAACAAAATCGGCTGCGATTATTTAATTTTGGTGGATTCCAATCAGGTTTTGATGAAAGTACAGCGGTTCAAAAGACGAAGTTGGCCAAAACTGAAGCGACTGAGTCGAGCTGTCCACCGCGGTTCAACACAAATTTCTCTCTTGCGTGCACATCTGTCGGCATTACAATCAGAGCTCGAAGATCAGACATCATCTGGAACCTGCTCACTCCAAACTGTTATGCGCAGGCAAAGACCCACAGAATTAGAATTCATCCCAGATAATTTGTATCAAGTTGGATTGATTTTAATCCAACACTATTTTCGAAAGTGGAACGCAACGGGGGCTGGAAATCGGATAGCTATTCCAGAGTTGGCCATTGTTAATTGACGAAATTTCTTGTCTACCGGCCTGATACTACAGATTCTGTGAATGGAATCGTTATATGGCGTGTTCTAAATGGCCTTCTGATACATCCCTGTTTTTGGCTGGCAGACCCTTTGGTGGATGTACGGGGATTCTACTTACTTCATTTGTTGCTCCTTGACCACTCTATTGAGCTTCTCGTATTGCAAGTTTCACTTACCAAGTGTGGGTGACTAATGAAATTTGAAGCATTGTTCTTCCGTAATTGATATAGATGATAGCACGACTGGTCATCTTATGCGAAAGTGTCGGAGCCTGTGGCCAGGATGACGGCTTCTGCGCTAGGTAGTTCAAGCTTCGTTCTAAATTGGATAAAATGATAACACGCATCTAACTCATGAATTGAATTGCGTATCTGCGTTATGGTCTTCTTTGAAGATTTGCCTTTCTAGGCCCGGATATCGGTCTTGTTCTTCAAAGCTCGCCCTCATCAATACCATGCAGATGAGACAACCTGTCAATTTGCTCTTGTACCCAGACTTCTGCGTCATTTCTGAGCCTGTCTTGAACACCCCTCTTTCTTTTGCTTCCAGCACCCGTTTGCGATGGTGCATCATGGTGAATAGCTTCCGTGTCATCTCTAGCCTCGGCATAAAGAACCGACGAAGGATGAGTCAGGTAGTGCGAATAGCAGTTCTCTGGGAGAATGAAGCGTCGATCCTCACCAACCCAGACTCGGAAGTGGTGATCAGATAAACCTTGCAGGAAATCTTTCAT